CACTAATGTCTGGAGCCCTTTCCAAAGGGGAATATTTCAAAAGGACACCTGGTACATTGTGTGATGTGTGTGAATGAGCTGAAAAGATTTCAAATGCAGCAAAACACTCCTGCATCCAGGGTTAAAATTGGAGGCAGTTTTCTGCATTTGAATCGTTATTGTTACTACCTAATTTGCGGGGGCTGCCCCACCCCAATTTCATGGGCAGAACATGGGCCCAGGCTGCCACATAATGGGTGAAGCGTGGTAGGCCCCTCCCATGCCTATGATTGGCCCAGGGGCTCCTGTGGCCCTGCCCCTCACCACTGAGGGGTGCCTGTCATTTGTCCCCACTCCTCACTGTGGATTGGAGAGGGGTGAGGCCACATGGCAAGCAGCCATCTTGCGAGCAGCCCCCATCATCCCCAGCTTTGCCCCCTGCCCCTGGTGAGTTGCAGCAGCTCTCAGTAAGTTTTTTAAGGTGGTTTTTTTTTTCTCCTGAGGATTTTGTGGATTCTGAATTATGCAGGCATTGTCTAGATTTTGCGGGCAATGCCAGATTTCGCAGAATCTGCAAGATCATGAATGTGGTAGGTCCCTGGTTATAAGTAGTATAAGAGTGCCCAGTGGTTGTGGCTCCCATGGTCTAATCCTATTCTTCCCATGTGGATCTGGAGCCCAGCCTCGTACTCTTATCAGTCCTGAGAGATTTGTTTTCAGCACCAGTCCTCATGCCACACAGTTGAGAAACCACATTCATTCCCCTGCGTTGGATTGAGAATATTCAGCAGCTCCCCAAAAAGCCTTTGTGTTGCGATAGCGAACACAGATGCTGATCCTACCTTACCTTTCTCTAATTACTCTTCATGCCAAAGCTGAAACCTGATTCCACAGTGTAGCCTGCTTTACGGATACTGCACCTCTTTGTGCTAGGGGTGAGGGGGAATGAATTAAGGAGAAATTGCTCCCAGCAGATCCACGTACTAATTGAGTCTAATTGGAAATGTCCTGCTGCACATATAAATGTTTCACAAGTCCTTCATTTCCAGTGCTGGATCTCATTCTTTGTAGAGGCTTTGACAGGGCAGTGATTAAAGATGCCCGTCTCTCTTCAGTAGTTCCCAGCTGTACAACCACTGGACTCCTGTCATGCTGCTGTACTTGAGATCCATTCCACATCACTGCCTCGTTGAGCATCTCAAGCATTCAGGCTTTCTCTCTGTCTCCAGACATGATTGCACCCTTTCACAGCGATCACAGAAGCAGCATTGCTGCAACTCATTAAAATAAGATGGTTAAGGAACAGGCTGCAAAGGGTTTTACTAGTCACAAAAATAAAAGCAGCCCTAAATCCCAGAGTTCCTTATATTTTCCTTATGTATCAGAAGGGCGAGGGGGAAACACCAACTCTTTACAGTGTCTGGCATTTTTTTTAAATCTTCTTGTTGTGTAGATGGTTATTGCCTGTATATTTTCCCATATGATGATGGAAATAAGTTAGCTCATTATTTTTTGGCCCCTCAGTTTTAGATGAGTTTGCTTAAGAAAAAAAGACTTTATTGTTGGGTTTGTTATTGTTGTCTTTTTTTGCTCATAGCCTGTTTTTCAAAAAAAAGAAAAAAGAAAGACTATTTTGTATTACTTCCAATCCAGGAGCTGGCTACCTGTTGTTAACATAACCAGCCCATGAGAGGAGAATAATTAATTTATGTGCTTTTTCCATTATTTCATCAGATCATAGAAAAGGTAGATTGAAAGGGAGAGGTTCTGTAGTCCAGCCCCCTGTTCAAAGTAGGATCATCCCTGGCTAAACCATCCCAGCCAAGTGTCTGTCAAAGTTGCTCATGAAAATTTGCAAGAATGGATATTCCAGTTTCTCTAGGTAGCCTATTTCAACACTTGACCACCCTCATAGTCATAAAATTCCTCCTTATCTCCAACCTAAATTTCCCCTACCGCAGCTAGAGGCCATTGTTCCTAATCCCGTCTGCTGCAGCCCATCTCCATCTCCGTCCTCTCTGTAATCATCCTTCAGGTATTTGAAGACTGTTATCACATCCCCCCTCAGCCTTATCTTCTGTATGCTAAATAACCCTCACTCTTTTAGCCTGTCCTCATAAACCTTGCCTCCCAGACTTATAATCATTGTAGATGCTCTCTGCTGGACTCTTTCCAGCCTGCACACATCTTTCTTAAACTGTGATAATATATTTTAAAACAGTTTTAGGCATCAGTTCAAACCCATCCCAGGTGAATAATCCTTGTAAATTGACACCTACCTGGTGATTCCTTGAAGGCTTACAGCTGTGTCATTCAGTGCTAGCACATTTGTGTGATTTCATACATGAAGCAAGTTGGTAAGAGAGATCCCTGTAGACCCAGGTGCTGTAGGAAGTGATGTTACAGATATACCAGGTAGCACTCTACTCTCTGGATCAGGCCTATGTTAGTGAACCCCATGTGGAGCATTTTGTTGTTCAGTGGGAGCATCTACAAGAGATGCTAACTGTGCAGTAGCCTAATAACACTGTGCAGTAGCATGCGGGGCAAAAACTGTTGCTAGTACACTACTGCACAGTAGTATTAGGGTACTGCCCAGCAAGCATCATTAAAAGTTTTTGTGCTGGCAGTACTGTGCAGTAGTGCATGTTATTGTGCATTGATTTAGTACTTCATTAACCAAGTACTAAATTTAATGCACAGTAACTATGGCACATTAATGAACATGTAGATGCGCCCAATGTCTTTCAAAGAACAAGCAAAACCTGGAACCCGTCAAACTGCAGCAGTAAAGAACATACAACTGTTCTGTAAAAATAAGGACTCACCTGCATGGGAAATCTACTAGTATATCACTGTATAGGTCCCTAAGTGGACATTCTTGTTCAGGATTAAGTATACCTTTTTCTTGTTTAACTTAAATAGCTTCAAAAGCTGAAATAAAAGTGTTATTAACTGAGGTGTTCCAAGGAGATTCCACCTAAGGTAATTGCAAAATTAGTGCCTGCCACAGTTTTAGTTAGATATGTTAGTCTTCCTTTCCTGTCCTTAACAGTAGTATAGTATTACTTTGCACTTTTAAAGAACCATAGTTTTCCACTCTAGATATGACTATATTTCATTTGTGGGTGGCATGATTACTAGGCATTTCTGAATTACCTCACAGGAATGTTGTAAGGATTTGTAAGACATGCACTTTATATAAGGCAGTTTGACATAAAAAGAAGAAAGTTGCTGAAGAAATGCACAGTTAAGTGTTTTTTATTCTTTGATGTTAGAGACACATTCTCAGTAGACATCAGAAACAATATACCCTGCAGTTGTTGCTTAGTGGCTCTCTTGTTAGCAGTCTCAGAAAGCCATGAAATGAGCGGAGTAAAGACTAAAGGTGATCTTTCCAAACCAAAGTTCAGTCTTATTGCTAGGGTTTAGATTGCTGCTGGTCAGCCTGTGATTTATTCAGAGCAACAAATATGTCCAGCAAATGAAATCTTATCTCCTCCCAGGGCGTTATGACTATGCCAATTTTCTAGCATGGTTTGATGACCGTATGTGACTACATTTCAGCGTGCAGTTTGTTTGTAAATGAACTGTTCCAGCTATGCAGTGGCACGCTATGTTTAGTGTATGATTGGTCACCCAACTTGCATGGTTGTGTTTCTGCTCTAGGACTGAGTGACTGAAATTTTATTAAATAGGAAGAGTTAAACCAGGGAGATTTTAAATGAACACATGAACATTTCTGGCATAACCCTTCACCTGACCATGTTCTCAGGAACACTTACAGGAAACTTTTTGTTTTGCTATCTGCAAACATTTCAACAAAAGAGGTTCCAAAAAGTATGGAAGGATTTTTGTTTGAAAGAATCTTTGAAAATTCTTTCCGTGCATTCTTTGCTCAAGCTTAGTTCAGAAATGGTTGGATGGTGCTGGTAGATTTTCCTAAATCACATTACAGCAGTTTTCCACCATGCATTACACATTACAGTGAGTCCCTTGCAAATCATGACCTAAACGTCCTTCTACACCTGTAAAGTAGAGAGAGGCTTGCTCAGTAATGCACTGAAGTCAAGACCCTTTACATTATAAATCCCATTCCACTGCAGAGGCTTAAGGCATGGGTGACAGCCCTGTCTCTTCTACTGCATTCCTGTGACACACTGAAGGTGTGACTCTTCAGCCTGGAGAAGAGAAGGCTCAGGGGTAACTTGGTGGCAGCCTATAAGTACATAAGGGAGGGTGCACCAGGATCTGGGAGAACAGCTATTCACCAGGGCTCCCCAAGGGATAACAAGGTCTAACAGCCACAAACTTCTGGAAGGCTGATTTAGACTGGACATTAGAAAAAACTTCTTTATGGTCCGAGTGTCCAGTGTCTGAAACAGACTTTCCACAGAGGTGGTGCAAGCACCTGCTCTGGACTCATTCAAATGGCGTTTGAATGCTTATCTTGCAGGGGGTCATTTGACCCAAGCAGACTTCCTACCTATGGCAGGGGGGGGGGGCTTAGTGATCTTGTGAGGTCCTTTCCAGCCCCTAATGTCAATGAATGTATGAGGCTCTAGGGGTTTTTGTACTAACCAGCCTAAATGTATTAGGGGGTACTTTGTGGCTGTGGTGTGCAGGCTGCAGTGGATGTCCTTGTGGATCCTTTTGAACTAAACTTCTCTCTTATATGATATCTGTGACCTTAGGGGACTGGACATCATTACCCAGGTTGTCTCCTTCAGTCGTGTGTTGCTAGGTATTGGTTGTTTGATTAAGGGGTACTTATCTGATTAAGTGTTTCAGAATTGTAATTCTGGAACAGTTACCAACATGCGCAGGCTTTGGGTGTTGAACTCAGATTTGGAGCTGGAATTTTATAATGGACTATGGAGTTGTCAATACCAGCATCCGGATACTGAGGCTGATAACATATTTTTTAGAATGCTAATAATTAGGGGGAAATGGGTTTCTAAGTGCCTGACAGAGAAATAGTTTAGCTTCTGATTCTAATGCTGATGAATACTTTAGAGAATAAAACACAGGCCTTGCCCTACTTTCGGTTCAATTCTAAACCAAGTTGCTGTACTGATTCTGTGGGCATCTAATAATTGACCAGGTGAATTTGAGGCTGCCGTTACATTTTTCAAAAGGGTGTAGCATCCAGAGTACTTTCTCAGTAAAACAGACCTTTCTTTATGTTCTTCCAGAATCTAGTCTGTCTGCTTCTTCCCTCCTTGCCCAAGATGCCTCCTTTTTCTATTCTCTCACCATGACCATGAAGTTCTCTTTCTTTTTTCTTATCTAAGATCTCCCTCCCATCCTCAATCATGGAATCCCCTTCTCCCCACCTTCCAAGACACCGACCAGTGTTCCTTTTCCTCCTCTCCATCTCTCTTCTAATTGATGTCCATAATAACATGATGGCATAACACTTCCTATCTCCCTTTCCCTCAGAGACTGGGGAACATCAAGCCAGAAAGAGAACGAGAATTAGACAGTGGCAATCAGGAGAGAGATGGAAATGAATCAGTGAGCTCTCATTCTTCTAAAATCATCACTGCCAGCATTAAACTGGGACAGGTTGTGTCAGTCCATGCCACTGCTCAGCCCAAGGACTATCACCTAATTGATCTCCTCTCTGCTACTGCTCATGTGTACCTGCCTCAAAACACACACACTTACTGACAGTGGGAAGGAGCCAGGGAGAGTCAGCAGCCTGCCAGTCAGACCACTGTACCTACCAGTGACAACTGCGTGTGTTGTCCTGTCTTACCCCTGTAGGCTAAATTTCTTGGGTGAAGACCATGACCCCAGATGAAAACAGTTGGCCAGGCTAGGCCTGAGCCATTGGTTTTACATCTCAGCCCAAAGATGGGACCTCAGCTGTACAGCATCTGTTGGCACCAGGCTGGGACAAGGCAGTCCAGGACTGCATTGCCAACACAGTTTTCTGTAGCACCTTGGTCTCTCCTGGAAATTTCCAGTCCAAGTTGACCTAGTCTGGCTTTGCTCAGCTTGTGAGACCTGAAAGGCTGTCGGCACAGCAGAAAATGTCCCAAGAGTTTGGTGGTGTTTGCTGAAGCTAAGTGTCAGGACCGCTGCATTTTACTTAAACTATAGCATTCAGCATGCATCTCTGTAGAGCAACATTAGGGGCTTATTATAAAAAGCAGATCTATCAAATCAAAATCTGATCCATTTCTATGAGAGGACCCCCAGACAAGTTTTATATTCTGTTTGACAAGTGCCTTATGCATCCTCATCTCAAGGATGAGACTGCAGGGGAAATACCTGGCCTGCTGGGGAAACAAATAGACTTCTTCCAACCCAGCATGGGCACAGGCAGAGATTCTGTTTTCCCAACTCTGAAGCCTGTTGTAGAATCCCAGGAATGTTCTTGTGCTTCAGATATCCCAAAATAACTGCTGTAAACTTTCCTTGGGGAAAAGCGCTCCTTGGAACAGGCTTTTAACTCAGAGTTCAGTGTGGAAGCAGCTGAATCTGAGAGAGAGAGCTCATCCTTGCTGAGCCGTTAGCAAATTGGGTACCCAGAGGAGAACTATGCATTTTGAATCCTCGCACTAAAAAAGGTATGTGTCCAGTCACGGGCTTTGTCTGATGCCTTAGACCAGGCATGTTTGTTACCAGCTGCAGTTTTTCCCCATGCAGGTCAGCTGGTGAACTGGTAACGTCAGCAGCTAAAACCTTAGCACTACTCTCCCTTTGGCCCAAAGAAATGCTGCTCTCTAAGTGCCAGTAGATGATTGGAGAGTCCTTAGGGAGGGAGTTTTTCATGTTCTTGGCTTGTTCCCTCCCCATCAGACTTATCCTGTAGCTGCCGTACTTCCTGCTTCATTCCAGAATAGACAACAAGCTGTGTGTGTGCCTGTAATGGCTTTTGTAAAGCTGTAACCTTCTGTAGCTCTGTCTCCTCCTGAAAAAACTGCACAATTCTCATATCCTTCATTTAATCCTAAGGCCTTGTGGTGCTGTGGTGTGGTGCCAGAGGACTGGAAAAGGGCCAATGTGGTTCCCATTTTCAAAAAAGGGAGGAAGGAGGATCCAGGAAACTATAGGCCAGGTAGTCTTACCTCGATCCTGGAGAAGCTTTCTGAGAGAATTATTCTGGTGCATGTTCATCAGGGGCTAGCAGGGGAGGTTATGCTTAGGGGCAACCAACACGGGTTCATTAGTGGCAGGTCCTGTCAGACGAACCTGGTGGCCTTCTACGACCAGATCACCAAATC